GAAAGGTTACATCGTTCAACGATCCTCATATGATTTGGGTAGTCATGATGTCTTGCTAGAGACCGCTTACGACTTGTGAGTCATTATAGTTAATGGCCCACTGCCAACTTCATATGGGCCTACAAGGTCGCACACAAAACAGCCCAACACGAGTTATGATGTCCAGATTCATTGAATCTAAGATATGTCCAGATTCAATGAATAATATAGGGTAGACGTATATATATATACACGTATTATATATAAGAGATATTAATTATTAGATTTAATTTATAAGGATAAATTAGATCTATATCACTTTTAAATTTGAAATTTAAATGGATATGATATCTTAGATTTAATTTATTAGGATAAATTAAATCTATATATCAATTTTAAATTGTTAAGAAATATATATATCTCTTAGATTTAATTTATTAGGATAAATTAAATCTATATATCAATTTTAAATTGATAAGAAATATATATCTCTTAGATTTAATTTATTAGGATAAATTAAATCTATATCAATTTTAAATTGATAAGATATAATATAATATCTCAAATTTGATTTATGAGAATAAATCAAATATAATTCTGTCATATCTTTATTTTGAATTAAGTAAATAGGTGAATTAAATCTGTGGGACGGATTTAATATAAACCATATTTATTTATTTGTTTTCTTATCTGATTACGCAATATTTGATATTGTATTAATTTCGGAATTAATTTAGGATTAATTTCAAAATCAAATATCCTTCATAATACCTATAGCATCCTATATATTTGATATTAGGAGCTAGGGTTTTGGGTGTGAGAGTGAAAAAGCTTACAGATAAGAGACAGCCAGTAAATAGAGAAGGTAAGACGGATTCTTCGAAAATAAACCCTAGAAGGACAAGAGGCGCTAGCACGTCGTTTGTGATTGGAATGCTATTCGTGTGGATATCGGTAGAGGAAGCTGATCTGAGTTGTCGACTTCGAGCCATAAAAGAGGCGAGCAGAGGCATCCTGAACGGCGAAATCCCCGAGCCACCAAGAAATCGAACATCGAAGGTAATACTTCTTACTACTTGACTTAAACACAATCGGTAGATCCGAGCAAGGGATTGAAAATTTTAAAGTTATTTTCCGTTGCACGTATTTCAATTCCCTTAAAAAACATGTCACAATAACATTCAAATAACATGTACACAGCAACACACAAGCATACAACATCAAGCATAGATAATAGGTAAGCTCACTACCTTGCACCTCAAGCTTTCCTCTTGCTTTTCCTTTGACTCCCTTGACTTTCCAACCATGTGGGCATTCGATTAAAATCACCAAACATCCTTTTGGATGTCCTAAAGATCCTAAACATAGTCATAATGATCACACAATCTATTAAGACCAAAAGACTACATAATATTCAAGACTAGCTCTCTTGAACCTCAACCCTTTCTCTTGCTTTTAGGGTTTTCTTTCTAGCTTTTCTAACATAAATCTCATCGTTTCCCATCTCAAGATCCATTTCTTGTCAATTAGGACCACTTTAGATGGCCTTAGATTCAAGAAGATCAAATCTGAAAATTTTGCTTTGCGGGTACTGTTCACGCAGAAATTCCAGAATTTTTGGTCAATTTTGAAAATTCATAATTAATTCTAGAAAAATAAAAACTGAGTGGTTCCAAGTCTCACTAAAAGATCCTTAAGTTCTATTTAAAGAAAAAATAGTTTCAGGAACCAATTCTATGCTGAACAGTACCAGAATTGTACGGAATTCGACACTTTTTCAAAGGTTAAATACTGTTTCCAGATTTCAGACTCTAACTTTAAAAAAGCACCATAAATCATACACATATCCAAATGAAGTGTTCTATCCATGAATTTAAAGCTTACAGAATGTACTTTAATCATGAAAAATTTCTGAATTAGATACAAAGATTTACTTATTCGAAATAGGTATCAAATCAGATGCTACAACCATCACATACCTTGATCTTGGAGCTTGAATCTTGTTCCTTCTTCTTGGCCTTCACCCCTATGTTTTTCTCTCTAAATATTGGCAGAGTTTTCCCTCTACAAATGGCTACCAAAATGCTCTTTCAAGGTGGGGTATTTATAGCCAAAACTTTGGGTTGAATGGACTAAAATGCCCTTGGTAGCTAATAGAAAGAGTAAGGGCAATCTTGGAACTTCAATTTAACTTTTACATTATCATTACATTATCTTCTTGCATCATCCTTACCTCATTCTTCTAGAAGGTGCTAGGTGTCACAAATATGGTGGAGGAGAAGGGAGATTAGATCCTAACTGTTGGATCAAAACTTAATCCTTAAGTTTCCTCCAAATTTACTTGGCCCACGTTTCTCCAGCTTTCTTTATGGCCTTCCAGAACTCAAAAAATTCTTCTGTCTATTCCATAAATTCCCTTTAATTTTATAGAGTATCTATGAATTTTCTTAGGCCATAGCACTTCCCTTAAGCCTTGTATAAAAATTCATTTACTAAAATGCCCTTTTATCAGTACAACTGGCTTTTTAATTTATTAAAGCCATTTCACTGGCCTTTTGGTTATGGGACTAATTTTATAAATTAGTACAACCTTCCAACCATTTAACCTCATTTTTGTGTACATTTTTGAGGTTTCTTGCTATTTTAGATAATTACCTCAAACAGTATACTTTTTACCGGCCATAACCTCATAAATTCCATTTAAGCTACCTTAGGGGTATTTTCATCTTTTCCCTTCACAGAAGAGCCTTAGAATATTATTTCCCATTTTCTAATATTTTCTTGGAATTCTCTATATACTCTTCCATTTTTACCCCTGTTGGTCATAACTTTCTAAATTTACGGTTTAGTCCCTGCTTAGACTCAACTTCATACAATCCTCTCTTTGAGGTTTCTAACTTAACCTTTGGCTTGTATCTACTCTCTTTTCTCTTTCTAGGCCCTTAAGACTTTACTGGAGCCTCTAGTCTTGATTATACTTGAGCCCTTGAAAACTTTCACTTTGCAGTTTAGTCCCTAAAACTACTTTGACTTCCTTTCTCATCTTTGGGACTTTTGCTCAAAAAGGGGTCTAGTAGCCTATCCAGTTCAAGGTATTTTTAGTACTTCTAGGCCTAAAAGTTAGGATGTTACACAAGCTTTCTCTTACAAAGCCTTTCTTCGTAAGCTCATCTACTTGGCATTGAATTTCTTTAGTTTCCTTAGGATTGGCTCTATAAGCAGGTCTATTGGGTAGAGAAGCTCTAGGAATAAAATCAATCTTATGCTCAATACCTCTTAAGGGAAGAAGCCCATTAGGTATCTCATATGGGAATAAATCACCAAATTCCTGCAACAAAGACACAACACTAGAGGGCAAAGAGGGATTAAGATCGTTAGTGGAAAAATAAGCATCCTTACATACAAGCACCAAGACTTGCTCACTCAACAATGCTCTCTTAACCTAACCTTTTCCAGAAATTAAACTCCCTATCTTTTTTTCACTTTTCTCTTATTCTTTCTTTTTCTTTTCTCTCTCTTTAGTTTCTTTCTTTTCCACTCTCTCCTTTTCTTTCAACTCATTCATTCTTTTGCACTCCTGCTCAATCCTCACTTGGTCTTTATAATCTTCTTTTCGCCTAAGAGGCTTTAATACAATGATTTTTCCATTGAATGGTATAGAATAACAATTTATGTAACAATCATGGTGAGCTTTACTATCAAATTGCCATGGCCTTCTGAGTAAGAGATGTCCAGCAAGCATTGGAACCACATCACATAGAACTTTAGTATGATAGTTCCCAATAGAAAAAGAAACTAAAACCTGCTTAGTGACTTTAGCCTTAGCACTATCATTCAACCATTACAATTTATAAGGTTTAGGATGCTTCATAGTAGGCAAGTCTAACTTTTCAACAAGTAAGGTACTAGCAACATTGGTAACACTACCACTATCAATGACCATGCTGTATACCTTATTCCTTATGAAACACATAGTGTGGAAGATAAGCTCTCCCTACTCTCTCTCATCATCTTATTCTTTATAAAGCACCTAGTGTGGAACATAAATTCTTGCTACGTGAGGAACATAAGCTCTCGCTGGTCTTTCTCATCATCTTCCTTTACATGAATATTTAGGGCTCTCCTAGCCACCAATACTTGTCCCGTAATAGGTTCAGCTTCATCAATCTCTAATTCCGAGTTAATCACTAAAGAGGGCACGTCATCATCACTTTTATCGCTAGAATGTTCATTGTCATACCCACCACTGTCTTTGATAATGATGGCTATCTTATTGGGACATTTGGAAGCAATATGCCCCTTTCCATCACAACTAAAACATTGAAGAGAAGAGGCTTTATCAGTACAAGAAGTTTTAGAGTCAAGTTTCTTACCTCCATCACCCTTGGGCTTTGATTCCTCCTTGGCTTTAGGTGTGAATCTTGTTGCATCCTTAGTCTTGCAATCCTTTCACTTGGGGGTTGATTTAGAGTCCCTCTAGCTATAGGATGAGGATTTTGTGTGTTTCTTTTTAAACTGTTTCTCAATTTTGATGGCTTTTTGCACCAACTCCTCCTTACCAACAAAAGTGTACATCTCAACTTTGTCTCTAATTTCAAGTCTCAGACCATCAATAATTCTGCTCATGCTTGATTCTTATCTTTTTCTACTTTAGTGTGCATCTTAAGAAGGTCAAGCTTATGTACATACTCCTCTACTGTCATAGATTCTTGGCTAAACAGTGACAACTTTCTATTAAGCTCTCAATAATAGAAACTAGGAACATACTTCTTGCGCATGAGTTTCTTTAGCTTCTCCCATGTACGAGGGGGACCTTTGCCCTTAAGGTGCCTCTTAAGCTACATTTGTAGGGGCCATATTAGGCCTAATGCAAGCCCAATTTATTGCAGCTTCTGGACCCTCCTATTTTTAATTAAAATAAAACCCAAAATTGTTGGATAATTGTTGGAAACTCCAATAACGGACACTTGTATAGATCTAAAGTTACATAGCATTTGATGGCTGCCAACTCACCATATTACATGGCACTTTGGGCATATAATTTTGAGGAAGGATGGTACCTTGAATTGGGCCTAATGTTGGCAGTGGACCTAAGTAAAGTAGAAGCCGTGTTAAACTGGGGACAACCCAAAATGGTAACTGAGGTAAGAAGCTTTCTGGGACTAGCAAGGTATTATAGTAGGTTTATACGGGATTTCTCTAGGATTGCACTACCACTTACCAAGCTCACTTGGAAGAACCAACCGTTCAATTGGGATACCAAGTGTGAGGTGAGCTTCCATGAGTTGAAGCAGAAATTGACCTCGACTCCCATGCTGATAATCCCCAATCCTATGTTGCCATACGTAGTATATACAAATGCGAGTAAGCAGGGATTGGGATGTGTGCTTATGCAGCAAGGTCGAGTGGTTGCTTATGCAACACAACAGTTAAGAACTCATGAGGAGAACTATCCCACACATGACCTTGAGCTGGCAGTGATTGTATATGCCTTAAAGGTCTAGAGGCACTATCTGTATAGGGCAACTATTGAATTGTACTGTGAACATAAGAGCCTCAAGTACCTGTAAGACCAGAAAGAACTCAATATGAGACAAAGGAGATGGATGGAATTGCTTAAGGATTATGATTATCAGATAAAGTACCATCCAGGAAAGGCCAATGTGGTAGCAGATGTCTTAAGCCAGAAGACAGTACAGGTGGCATCCTTAATGATAAAAGAACAAGAGTTGATTGAGAATATTCGAGATTAGGATCTCATCGGCCAGATACGACTAATGGCAGGCCAAATTGGTATTGCAAAAGCAGAAGCATAAATATTAAACAAATCAAGGAGGCCGAACAAAGAGATCAACTGGCCTATATTTTTAAAGCGAAGGTGCTAAAAAATGAGACGAAGGATTTTGAGATAACTCAGGAAGGGATCCTGAAATATAAGGGAAGAACTTACATTCCCCCAAACACAGAAGTTAAGAGGCAACTTTTAAAAGAGGCACACAAGAGCCAATACACCATATATCCAAGCATGACTAAAATGTATCGAGATCTTAAAAAATCATTATGGTGGCCTGGTATATCCAAGAAAGACATAACAGACTTTGTGTCAAGGTGCCTAACTTGCCAAAAGGTAAAGACAGAACACCAAAAGCCATCAAGATTCTTACAACCATTGAGTATTCTGGAATGGAAATGGGATAGCATTTCTATGGATTTTGTAATGGGATTACCTCATACATTATCAGGTTACAATGCAATATGGGTGATTATGGATCGCCTGATGAAGTCAGCTCATTTCTTAGCCATCAAGAAAGAGTATCAACTGGAAAAGTTGGCATGGATTTACATCAAGAAAATTATAAGGTTGCGCGAAGTACCCGAAATGATTGTCTCTGACAAGGACCTAAGATTTCTCTCTAGATTTTAGAGAGCATTATGGGAAGCCATAAGCACTAAGCTGAGCTTCAGTATGGCTTATCATCCTTAAACAGACGGGCAGACAGAATGCACTATTCAGACATTAGAGAATATGCTAAGAACTTATGCCCTAGATTTCAAGGGGAACTGGGATGAGTACTTGCCACTAGCGGAGTTTGCCTATAACAATAGTTATCATTCCATTATCCAAACGGCTCCTTATGAAGCTTTATACGGGAGAAAATATAGATCCCCGTTGTGTTGGACTAAATTAGGAGAAAGGAGGTGTTTGGTCCCGACTTGGTAGAGCAAACCTCACAGCAAATTAAGATGATTTGACAAAGGCTACTCACAGCACAAAGTACACAGAAGAGTTATACTGACATACAGAGAAAGCCCCCTGGAGTTTGAAGTTGGAGGTCATATTTTTCTGAAAGTGTCTCTAACTACTAGCTAAAAAAGGTCAATCAAGGCTCGTAAATTGACGTCGAAGTTTATTGGACCCTTCCAAATTTTGTCAAGAGTTGGCCTTATGACTTATAGATTGGCCTTACCCCCTAATTTGAGCAGATTCATGACATCTTTGTTAGTGGTAGTCTCACCCAAGAGGGGGTGAATTGGGTGAGTTATAAAAATTCAGCTGAATCAAAACAGTGAAATTAATAAAAACAGAGAGCCTTGAGTTAGAAGGATTTCACCACAAATTAAAGACACTAGATTTATATTAGTTCAGTCTTTACCACTTAACCTATGTCCAGTTCTCAGGACACCTCTGAAATTTCTACTATGATCTAAAATTAAACAGGCTCTTGGTACCTCAGTACAGCAATTGATTTTCTTAATCACTCCCGCTTACTACCCGTAAGGTTACAATCCCTCTCAAGAGTCCACACTCTTGAGTTACTCTCAGAAACTGAGTAAAGAAGGTGTGTCAGTCTCTCTTACAGAGTAAATGAATATGAAAATTGAAGCTTAGTAAAGAAGAAAACAGAGTATTGAATGCAATAGTAAGAATTTTGCAAAAGGTAGCTCACGTATTCAATACTACATTCAATGCTTCTTCCCGCCTTTTATAGTTGGAGAAGTTTAATAACCATTAGACCAAAGAGCTTCTAGTTGTTGAGAGTTCGGTTGCATGTTTTCCCAGTTGCGATGGTATTCGCCATTCATGCTTCTGACATGGTAGGATATAGGCTACTTAAATAATTGTTGAATAACCGTTAAGCTTGCTTTATATTCTGTAACAATACTTCAACCTAATATGTTTTTCCTTCAAAATGAAACTCATGAAGATAACTGATCAAATGATAATAATATTCATATGGTAGTTGAAAGGGAATCAATCAATCATCAGATCCAATAACTATGAACTGGACATCCTTGATCGAAGTTATGATCGATAACTGGTTTGTCGATTAAGTTATCGATTAATTAAAATGAAAAAATTTGAAACAGATAACTATATTTATCGATCAAGTTATGGATTAACTAATGAATGCAAAGAGTGATTTCAAAAAGATTATGTATAGAAAAGGCTCAAGGTCACCTATGATTTTGGATCCCCTAAAATAGAGAATTATGATAAATAGGAAGGCTGAGAAAAGCTTAAAGAGAAATATTCAGAAGTTTTTAAATCTCACTGTAGTTTCTTGTTATTGAAAGAACTAGATCATTGATTGAATAAGTGATCGAAAAATATTTGATCGATCAGGTTATCGATAAAGCTAAGCAAGATAGAAGTTGATTTTCATAGAGCACTGATCGAACATTTTATCGATAAATTGATGATAGAAAATTTGATCGATAAAAAGGTTTAACAAAGATTTTCACAAAGGGCACAAAGCATATGATGATTGAGTAAGTGATCGATAAAAATATAGTCGAGAGACTTAGTTCTAAAATGCCAAGAAAATATTTGATTGATCACATTATGTGAAAACAGAATATTCAAAGGATTGGATGATCGATCATTTTATCGATAAATAAATGATCAATCAAGTGATTGAAGAAAAACTTAAAATAGTTTAATCCAGTATAGAGCTGATGATCAATCATTTGATCAATAAACCACTAATCGATCAAGTGATTGATAAAGAACTTAAACATATCGATAAACAAGTAAGTTATTAAGTAATGACAAAACAAGTTATCGATAAAGTGATCGATAAATGGTGGTTAAATCAGAATATAACGTGAGTAGGAAGCTTTACCATTCATCTGTCTTCTCATTGATGACTTATTTATTGATCATGTGATCGATAAACACTTACCAAAATTGTGTCCCATTATCTGTCAGTTGTTCAATCATTAGATTATCGATCAATTGATCGATAATTTTCTGCATACTTCTATACAAAATAGTGTTAAAAATGATCGATAAACTGATCGATCAACACATACATTTTGGATTATCTATCAAGTTATCGATTAACATTTCTGCTAAGTTTCTTATTTACACAGGAATTTTATCTGTCATGTGATCAATAAAGCTTTGATTGATTAGGTGATCAATTAACTTACTAAAACACAGATTACTCAATTTGTTATCATCAAAACCTTAAATCTAACAGTCTTTCATGTTTCTCAATTAAAGAAATATCAGCCGGATCCTTCTCATGTCCTGAAATACAAAGACATAGAGCTATGAGATAACCTCACTTTAGAGGCTAAACCAGCAAAAATGATAAATCGATAGATCAAGCAGCTACAGAATAAGGGTATTCCGATGGTTAAAGTTATCTAGAGGGATCTAACTCAGGAGAAGGCCACATGGGAGAAGGAAAAAGAAATCAAGGCTAGATATCCAGAATTGTTTAAATAAGGTATGTTTCTAAATTTCGAGGACGAAATTTATTTAAGGGGGGAGGAATTATTACATCCCACGAAATTTCACCTGGACATAGAGAATTAAAAATTTGGATGAGGGCCAATGTAGAAACTAAATGGGGAGGCAAAATAACTTTTGATGTGAAACCCCAATAAGGTCCAGGCTGGTATTTTCATAATTATCGGTATAGAAAGGGCAGAATGAAAAATTTTGAGAAAAATTCTGGAAAATTCCTGAAAAAAATTATAGAAATAGAAAAGGATAACATGGTATAGAAGTCCTACATCAACTAATTTATAGTGAAGGAGCTTGATGAGCCTATATATAGGAGGTGGTGCGTAAAGTTCGGAGTAAGTAAACAATTTTCGCACATATCTAAGGTAGTCTTAGAAAAGTGCTAGTTTTGAGTTTGTTAATCATTAGATTAGACTAAAATTTAGTCAGTCTATTTGGGACATCCAAATCATCAATTTCAACAATTGGATCATCAATCTGGTCTCTAAGTTACAAGTTATTAGGTATGTTTTCAACTTATTTTTTAGATTTTGTAGATAGCATCTTGAATAGTAAATTAGCATTTTTAAATTCATTCACCATTAGATCTAGCTATAATTTAGAAAATAGAATCATAATAGATAGGAGATTAAATTCAATGGCTAGATCAATGGTTTAACTTCTGTGGTGAGAATAACCTAGCTCGTATTAAATCTATTCATCTAAGTCCCTTGAAGATGGAACATAAGTTATAAATTAGGGATAATTAAAAGATATTTAAGTTAAGAAAAATCTTGGAATTGAATCTAAATCATATATATATCTTCTCACTCCAAACCTTAGGGGGGGAAAAAGGGCCTTTTGAACTAGAATTCTAAATGAAAGTTGGAGCTTTTAGAGGCAGAGTTGGATGCTAGAATTTTGTGAGTAGCTTACTCTAACACTATAGAGATAACATTTTAATTTTGTTTGTAGATAGATATAATCCTATTGTGGCATTTTTGAGGTTGGGCCTTAGTTGTGTTTGACTATTAGCCAAGATACTGGTAACAAGATTTCTATCTGTTGCATGCTCTGGTATAAAGTTGGTGAGTGGTTTTATAACCAATTTTTATATATGTATATTATGTTTTGTATGAACTATCTTGTGGGATGCTATTTTGAAAAGGATTGAAATTGCTTGTATTGTTAGAAATTAATGATTATGACTATCAAGTTTTATTCTGGAATTCGATTGATTATGCATATAAATGTGTTATTGTGAAACCT